AGGACGCCAGGAGGTCTCTGCACTGCTGGCCGCAAGAGGCCTTGGGCCCGGCTGGTGCCTCCACCAGCGGAGTCCTAGAAGGAGGCAGCCACTGAACGCCTGCCCTTTTGGGGAGGGGGAGGCAAGAGAGTGCAAAGGACAGCCCTGAATGCTTTCACCCCTGAACAGCAAGCATGGAGCAGAAGCAATACAAGGACGTGGCTGATGAGGGACCCCCGTCCCATGGAGGTAATGAAGCAAGCTTCTGGACTTCCCGGGCAGTCACTGGGAACCCAAAGAACAAGGAATCTCTCTTCCCCCTCCTCTTTCTCTTAGTGGTCTCCTGTTGGGGCCATGGATCAGTTATAGCCCTCTTCATTTCTGAAGCAAAAAAACCACCTGTCCCCAGGAGATTCAAACCATCTGTCTGGGCAAAGGAACCCCAGCCATGCTGAGCTCTGCGGGGGCTTATCTGTGTTATGCCCCCCCAGTGGGGAAGGATCAAGCTTTACGGATGACATGGCAGAGAACTCTGCCTCCGGAGTGAGGTGCCGAGACTTCGCTGGGCTTTGAGTCCTGCCCGGCTCGTCTCCCTGACCGCCAGGGCCGGAAATGGGAAACGATCCCGGTTTGCTCCACCCTTCAGACTCTGGAGACGTCAGGGTTTGGCAGCGGTCCCTCGGAGGGATGGGTGTTGTTGGCCTGACGGGCTGCCGTGCCGTTCTCACCCTCTTCCCCTGCCCATAGGTGAGCTCTGCTCCGTCCGAGACCTGCTTCCTTTCCTAGAGGCAGAGAACCAGAAGGACACGGTGGTTCGTCTTGTGCGGGCCGCCCTCAGCTGCCCAGCGGCCACGATGCCGGCGCTTCTGGTCACGATCCAGCAGGAGGAGGTGCTTTTCTCCCCCAAGACTTTGCTGCCAGGCAGCCAGGCAGCCAGCCCCCCCCCCGGGTCTGTCCAAGTGTAGAAGCGGGTGACTCTTCATGTGGCAGAATTGTACCCCATTCAAGGGAACGTCCTGAGCTGCCTCATTTTTTCCCCTATCCTTTTTCAAAATTGGGGTCGCAGAGTCCCTCGTCCCTTCTGGCAAGGATTGTAGGGTATCCCTCAGTAGGGCAGCCTGCCCCACCCGGTGGGTAATGCTGGGGGGGCGAGGGGGCTTTTTGCTCCTCTCCAGGGGGAGGCACCCATCCCTGAGGGGCCTGGGGACAGCCACTTCGTGACCACCCTGGAAGTTCCTGGGCCTCGTGGCTCCATGCACGAGCCTGGCCAATGAACGGGCCCCCCTCTACTTGGGATCTCTCCACCCCCTCCCCACAGGCCTCCGTCCGGCAGAAGGTGGTGGTCTATCACAGCCTCCAGGCCCTCCTGGAACATGGCGTGGAAGTGGAGCCCACTCGGGACTTCATTGTGGCTGCCTCCGAGCAACTGAGGGCACCTCTGGCGGTAAACGGGGGGGTTGTGCCACCCTTTGTGCGGGGGGGGGCTCTTCTGAGATGCTGGGCAATTCTGCTGCGCTCAGGAGCTGCAGGCAGTACCTCTTTCGGCTCCCTCTCTTTGATCTCCTCACCCTCTTCCCTTTCCAGCCACAGGAGGGGAGTCCCTGGGAACTCCAGGTGGCCGCCAGTAACACCTTGGCCATCCTTGCCCGGGGCCACTTTAACCCCGTCATGACAGAGCTTCAGCGGCATCTCAGGCCCTTCACGCAGCCGGGCGCGTTCACCCTTCTCGCCCTCGGCAGGATGGCAGGCACCGATGGTAGGATCTCGGGAAAGGGAGAAGGCTTCGCTCCGGAGGGCAGGGCTGGGGGGGGGCTTCTCGGTCGCTCCCACCCCTTCCAAACTCGCCAGGCCCGCGGGGCCCTGACGGCCAAGGCACGAACGCCAATCGAGTGGGTCTAATTGGTGCATTCCGCAGAAGGTGTCCGACGCTTCCCTCCCAAAGGATCTTGCTCCCTTTTCTGTTTCTGTCCCTTGATTCTCCTGCTGGAGAGGAACAGTAAGTCACACAGAGATACAACGGGGACACTCCTCTTGAGGGGAGCTGGGTCTTTGTTGGTGCGGTTGAGTTCTCCAGTCACCGCCGGTGCCAAGAGGACTTCCAGGAGGCTAATTCAAAAGAGGTAAACCCAGAGAACAGTGACTCAGACAGAAGCCCACCTGTCGTTCCGATACATCGCACGTCCAAGCGTCATTGAATTACCCTCATGCAGATAGTTGGCAGGATGGGGAGCATGAATGGGCTAGCAGCGGTGGCCAGGGCAAGTGGGGCAAGAGAGGATTGTGGACTGGTTCATCAGCAGCCTCTGGAGCAGCCGGTTGGGACTCTTCCAAAATAGATGTGGCCCAGCTCTTTACGAGGGCAGAGAAAGGCCGTTGACCTTTATTTTGTCATTTCTTTTGTTGTTTATTTTCATGGTGTGCAATGTTGCAGGGAGAGGCAAGTCCTTGGGAACAGGGCTCTGTTCCCTTGGCTTGAGCATCGGCTCCTCCCTGATTCTTCCTGGCCTCCGGGCAGGGTTCCCCCCTCTGATCTATTCCCATCTCCTTCCTCTCCTGCCTTCGTCAGTGTACGGCTGCATCCCCTTCTTGGGCATCACCCTGGCCACGCTGCAGACCGTTGTGCGCTGGATCGTGGATAGCTGGAGGCGCCGGGCGCTTTGCGCAGGTCAGTCCCCATGGGGTCTGAGCTGGGGGCGCCGAGTGGGGACGGAGAGCAGAGGGAGGAGGGCAGCTCGGGCGGGTATCTCCAAGGCAGAAATCCAGCCAAACTCAACAGAGTTCATCTGTGCTTTGCATCGGCAGAACTAAGTATGGATGAAGTCCATTTCCCCCATGACTGTCGTCCAGTGTGTTTCTGCACGTATACATGGACAAGATCTGGATAAGGCTTTCATGCATTTTAATTCCAACCCCCTGTTATACTGTATTCATTTTTCAATTCCTGTCTGATTTTTGCCCCCATCTGCCATGTGCCCATTTCCAGGTATTTGGGGAAATGTGCATCTTAAGCTGTGTGGGCATTTTCCAAAGGTCTGAGTTGGTTAGGCTCTTAGGATCTTAACCTGCAGGATCTTAGCCTCTCCGGCACCCGCCCTTTCCCAGCCCTCCAACAGATGTGCCGAGCCATCCGGATCTACCTGCAAAGCTGGGGGAAAAGCTCCTACCCCCGGATCAGGGTCCAGCAGTTCGCCAGCTACCTCTTTCCCCTCTACGCCTCCATGGTCCGCACGTGGCTGGCCGAAAGCGACCCCCAGGTAAGACGCCTCCAGCCCTCTCGGCTCCCACCCCCTGGGAGCAACCCTGCTTCCCGTTCTGTGGTGGGAAAGAGTTTTGCGTGGAGGAGGAAGGGAGGCGGCACTCTGTACATGTCCAGGAAATAAAGATAGTGGCCAGATTTAAGGGTCCGACACCCACACAGCAGTCTCCTCCCTCCCCCTTCCCCTTCCATCCATGCTGACAGGTCAAGCTGGCTGTTTTGAAGGCGCTGGGCCCCATGCTGAGCCTCCTCCTGCCCAAGAGGGAATTCCAGGCTCGGGTTTACGAAGACCTCCTTCTGCTCTCAGAGCAGTACGAGAGTGGGATCGACCCTGTTCTTATCACAAAGGTGAGGCTCCTTCAGCTGGCCACGAATCCGTCATTCCCGTGGTCTCCTTGGCAAAGACACCCGGCTCGCTTCTCTTGGTTTCTCTCCAAATTGCATCAAAATATTCCCCGTCCCCTTTCAACCAGACCTGACCTTGTCCTCCAAGGATCTGGTGCCAGGTAATCTTTTCCAAAAAAAACCAAAAGGGGTCTGCGTACAGTATAAACATGTTGCCCATTGCAGCTGGATTTTTGCAGTGGGGCCTTAAAGGTGAAGTCATTTTGTGTGGCTGAAGGGGCCACAGAAAGATCTGCCAAATCAAACTCATTTTGGGTCCCGGAACATTAAACGGGGTGGAACATGGAGGAGCGCAAGAGTCGTCTGTGCTCAGTGGGAGGGAGGAAGGAAGGAAGGAAGGAGTTAAGGAAGGAGTTAAGGAAGGAAGGAAGGAAGGAAGGAAGGAAGGAAGGAAGGAAGGAAGGA